CATAAAAGGGAAACAGCAGACAGCAAGAGCAGCCAAGAATTCTGTGATCTGTAAGGATTTTGCATGCTGATTCCAGGCATTTCTGGATGAGGCAAAAGAACTATAAAGTTGGAAGGAACTCCAAAGGCCATCCCAGTCCAACCTCCTTCTGCCAGCCAAATCCTCCTAACAGGCAACTATCCTGCTTCTTAAAAGAAAAGAAAAGGAGACTCCACAAATTGTTCCTGCCTTCTTGTGTTGTTGTTGTAACAAAATGAAGTTCAACAGTGACAAATGCAAGGTACTCCACTTAGGCAGAAAAAACGAAATGCAAAGATACAGAATGGGGGACAATGCCTTGCTCGAGAGCAGTACGTGTGAAAAAGATCTTGGAGTCCTTGTGGACAACAAGTTAAACATGAGCCAACAATGTGATGTGGGCAAAAAAAAAGCCAATGGGATTTTGGCCTGCATCAATAGGAGCATAGTGTCTAGATCTAGGGAAGTAATGCTCCCTCTATTCTGCTTTGGTTAGACCACACCTGGAATATTGTGTCCAATTCTGGGCACCACAATTCAAGAGAGATATTGACAAGCTGGAATGTGTCCAGAGGAGGGCGACTAAAATGATCAAGGGTCTGGAGAACAAGCCCTATGAGGAGCGGCTTAAGGAGCTGGGCATGTTTAGCCTGAAGAAGAGAAGGCTGAGAGGAGATATGATGAGGGCCATGTATAAATATGAGAGAGGAAGCCACAGGGAGGAGGAGGGAGCAAGCTTGTTTTCTGCTTCCCTGGAGATTAGGACGCGGAACAATGGCTTCAAACTACAAGAGAGGAGATTCCATCTGAACATGAGGAAGAACTTCCTGACTGTGAGAGCCGTTCAGCAGTGGAACTCTCTGCCCCGGAGGGAGTGTGGTGGAGGCTCCTTCTTTGGAAGCTTTTAAGCAGAGGCTGGATGGCCATCTGTCAGGGGTGCTTTGAATGCAATATTCCTGCTTCTTAGCAGAATGGGGTTGGACTGGATGGCCCATGAGGTCTCTTCCAACTCTTTGATTCTATGAATTCTATGAATCTATGAATTTTTATCCCATCCTTCTCACCTCCGAAGAGGGACTCAGGACGGCTACCAGCAGGCTCCATTTGGTGCCAAACAATACTGGAACAATACTGGCATAATATTGGAATAACAGGGTGGAAGTGGTGCAATGAGCTAAATGCAATAACTCAGAGAAGATGCCCATCTGAGATCTGCAGAGGTTGCACTGCTGGGATGGCACAGGCATTTCCAGGCTTCTGCGGCTTCTCCGCTGGACCTTTCATGGCCAAGCTAACCACTGAGGGAAACTCTGCGGCCATGCAAATCAGCATTCATTATGAAAGCCTCCTGCACCAGGCTCTGGAATGAGGTTTCTTTCTTCTGCCAAACAGCTACATTCCTGCCCTGTCCATCTCCACGCAGCCCGGAATTTTCCACTCTCGGCTCAGTGATGCTAAGCTGTCTGCGGTTTGCTTTGGCATGGTTTGGCATTCCTCTCCAAAAAGCTACTCTGCTCCCGCGTCCTCAGATTGAGGCACTTATTCACCTGCCAGGCCTCCTCCTCTCTCTACTAATGGTTTAAGGGCACTTAGCCTGGTATAAACCAGAGCAGTGCTTATGGGCTGAATCTGGTGCCATTGTCCAGATGGCATGGGACCACATCTAGGCAACTTGGGCTGTCACCTCCTGATGGCGGTAGCGTCCATCTGAACAATGATTTGGTCCAAATGGAATTGGATCCATTCCAGCCCCCTTCTGCTAGCCAGAAGGACACAATCCGAGCCCTCCCGATAGATAGCCATCTATCCTCTGTTCAAAAACTGACACAGAAGGAGACTTCACCAGATGCCCAGGCAGTGGCAGATTCCTCTTTCAAACATCTCAAACCATCAAGATGTCCTGTCCTTCCTAATCTTTAGATGGAATCTCTTCCTCTTCAGTGCTCCGTTGTGTCCTAGTCTTCAGAGCAGCAGAAGATAAGCTTGCTGGGTCCTTAAAGTGACATCTTTTCCAATGGGTTATTGTAGGTTTTTTCGGGCTATATGGCCATGTTCTAGAGGCATTTCTCCTGACGTTTCGCCTGCATCTATGGCAAGCATCCTCAGAGGTAGTGAGGTCTGTTGGAAACTAGGAAAGGGTTTATATATCTGTGGAATGACCAGGGTGGGACAAAGGACTCTTGTCTGCTGGAGCTAGGTGTGAATGTTTCAACTGACCACCTTGATTAGCATATAATGGCCTGACAGTGCCTGGAGCAAACTTTTGTTGAGAGGTGATTAGATGTCCCTGTTTGTTTCCTCTCTGTTGTTGTGCTGTTGTAATTTTAGAGTTTTTTAATACTGGTAGCCAGATTTTGTTCATTTTCATGGTTTCCTCTAATTACCTCATCACCTCTCAACAAAAGTTTGCTCCAGGCATTGTCAGGCCATTGTATGCTAATCAAGGTGGTCAGTTGAAACATTCACACCTAGCTCCAGCAGACAAGAGTCCTTTGTCCCACCCTGGTCATTCCACAGATATATAAACCCATTTTCCTAGTTCCAACAGACCTCACTACCTCTGAGGATGCTTGCCACAGATGCAGGCAAACTGTCAGGAGAGAATGCCTCTAGACCATGGCCATATAGCCCAAAAAAACCTACAACAACCCATATTTGGTGATGCCTTCCAGTTTGTCCCTCTCCTTCTTGAATGGCTTTGCCCAGATCTGGACACAGGGTTATTATTCCCAGCGAGATCTGACCAAAGCAGAAGAGAGTGGGGCTATGATTTCCTTCTGTGTAGACTTTAGACTCCTCTTATTACAACCTTGGATTGTATTGGCCCTTTTAGCTGCTGCATCACAGTGTCCATTCCTTTGTGGAATACTAAGACTCCTAGATCCCTCTCACATGGACTGCTTCCAAGCCAAATCTCACCTGCCTTGTATTTGTTTCCCTGCCTGGACGTAGTACATTCCATTAATCCCAGTTGAAATTCATTTTGTGTGCTTCGGCTCTCCATAATCCCACTCAAGTCAGGCTTTACCTCCTGGCATGTTCTATGCTTCTCAGCAAATGCTCCCATCTCTCCCTCTGGTGATGCCCAAACAGATGCCCGCTAAGCCTCTTTGCTGACACATCCAGCAGGAATGACAATCCTGGACGTGGACCAAAGCCAACATCTCCTGTCTCCACCTGAAAGCTCAAAAACAATGCCTCTTTTGAGCTTCCACCTCCAGGTCAGGCCAGAAGGAGCATGTTTATCTCCTCTGGCTTGGCCTCCGGCAACATCCTCCTCTTCCTTCGCCACTTTTCTGCCACGAGACGGAATCTGAGAAGACCGTGCTTCTGCCAAATTTGCACAAGGCCAGCTATTTGTCTCCTTGAACTTGTCCCTTCTGTGCTCTTGTATGAAGACACCAATGTTAATGGAGCTGCTACTTTGGAGGAGGTTCCAGGACAGAAAATGGCTTGCTCTGAACCAAAAAATTGCTCCCTCTGAGTTGCACTTTCTGGACCCAAGTGCGAATTCAGATCTTGGATATTCAATTATTAAAATTGGGATGAAGTGGCCGCGAAACACATCTCCATGTGTCCTATGCCTAAATCCAACTGGAATCACCCAAAAGACCTGCATTATCACAGGGTGTCTGCACCCTACACCACTGGATAAATTACACTGTCTAGCCAGTATTGCACCACCTGACATCCACCGGGAAGTAGCAGCCAATAGTGAAAGGACCAAGGCAGTGACATCTCCAGCTCATCCCTTGTTTGGGTATCAGCCAGCATGTCAACGACTTAAATCAAGAAATAGTTTTCTAAGATCTACAGAGACACTCGCTGGAACACCTCAGCAAGCGAGAGTCCAAAAGTGGCAGGCTCAAACCCAGAACCTCATCCAATGGCTGATACCAAATGAGAGACGCTCCTTCTTTGGAAGCTTTTAAACCGAGGCTGGATGGCCATCTGTCAGGGGTGATTTGAATGCAATATTCCTGCTTCTTGGCAGGGGGTTGGACTGGATGGCCCATAGGGTCTCTTCCAACTCGAGACTCCCCCCTGGGCACACAGAGGACTGGGCGACTTGGAAGCCGCTGAACAGACTGCGCTCTGGCACCACGAGATGCAGAGCCAACCTCAAGAAATGGGGCCACAAAGTGGAATCCACGACATGCGAGTGTGGAGAAGAGCAAACCACTGACCACCTGCTGCAATGCAACCTGAGCCCTGCCACATGATGCACGATGGAGGACCTTCTTGCGGCAACACCAGAAGCACTCCAAGTGGCCAGATACTGGTCAAAGGACATTTAATCAACTACCAAGCTTGCAAATTTGTGTTTTGTTTGTTTGTTGGTTTGTTAAAAATGCAATACAACTGTTTGGTATGCGAGGAGGCTAATTTAACTAATTTACGATGCCATAAAAATATCCAGCAAGCATGCAAAGAATGTGGAAGCACTTCATCAGTGTCACAAATGGACGGTGAAGCGACAGCTCCCCTAGTGGCCAGAATGCCCTCATCAAAAAGCTGGAATGTTAAATAGCCTTTGTGTGTCTGTCTATATATGTTGTGTGTCTATGGCATTGAATGTTTGCCATGTATATGTACATTGCAATCCGTCCTGAGTCCCCTGTGTGGTTAGAAGGGCAGAATATAAATACTGTAAATAAATAAATAAACAAACAAACAAATAAATAAAATATGCCCATCCAAACTCAAGTAATGAAGGTGGAGGCATTACTTTTCATTCAACCTATGTGTGTGTGTGTGTGAAGGGTGGAATATAAATACTGTAACTAAATAAATAAATAAATAAATAAATAAATGTCAAACTGCATTAATTCTATAGTATAGATAGCCTTGTTGTGATATGCATTGGTTGATTTGTGCTGAGCCAGAGAAGATCGTTGCCTTGCTCCACTATAGAGCAGCTGCTTCACCTGATGAAACAACACAAGGAAAAGGAACTCCATCTCCAAAGGTTTGAGTCTTACCTGCATATGGTTCAAGTGTCACATTGAGCAAGTCTTTGGAGCCACACTCGGGACCCAGAGCCCCATTGTAGCTGAGCGTCCGGGCCCCAAACATCAGGCGGCACCGGTGCTCCTCAGCTGTGTTGTTGGTGAGGAGGGCAAAGACGTCAAAGTCGCAGCCATTATTCATGCCCTCGGAGGCTTTGATCTTGACCTTCAGCCCTTCTTCTGCTGGCGGTGGGTCTTTGTGGACCTGGGCCTTTTCAAACACAGCCCGCTCTTCCTCCGAGTCTGCCAAAGGGAAGGGACAACGCCATCAGCACATGCTATCCATCGTTCAGTGGTCAATATCTACCAGAAGTTGACTCAAGTCATCATGGAGGACTTAGAGATCCTTCTAGACAACAACTGTCTAAGAAACAGATCTCATCCATCTCAGGTATCAAGTTTCTTTTATGGCTTCTTCCCACTGTCCCAGTCAGGCCCGTAGTGAGGGGGAGGGGGGGTTAGGGGTTCAACCCCCCCTGAAATGTTTCAGATTTTTTTAAAAAACCTGGTTTACTCATGAATTTTAACTGGTTAACCAAATCCCCATGCTAAGTCTACGAGATGCAAAAAATTAAGAGTCCCTCCAGAACTGCAAGCACTATCTCAAGCAAATATTAGCAATTTATTCACACTGTCATTACTTGCAGCAATAGCCGATGTAGTTGTTCTGGTACAGCTGTACCAGGAGCTCCAACTTTATTTGCTTTGTATTAAATGTTTGCTTGCAGTCCTAGGTTTCAGGGACTCTGCAGATAGGTGGCTTCTTTGGTTGCAGTCATAGGGCAAGTCACCTGTCCATCATTGTTAAGTTTTTGTCCCGCCCCTTGCTCAGGGCAATTGGGAAGGGAAGGGAGCCATTTTTTAGTTAGTCTCAGCAAGGAAAGCTAATGTATAGGATGTGCAAGCTTCCCCTGTACAAAAGCTTCAACCCTTAAGACCTTCCGGGGGAGAAAGGTCTTAAGAGTCTCCAAAGAATTTCCAGGAAAACAGCCCTAAAGACCAAAGAACTCCAGCTGGAGAACATCTACTGCCTTGCTGGTAGGTCCACTCAGCGTTCGAGACGCAGTTCGACCCGGTAGCGGAGCCCACATCAGTAAGGGTTAGATTACAGTCAGCCTGGGAGAAGTTAAAAAGGGGATTTTCCTTTAAAGAAGAAGTTATTGAAGACAGTTGCCTGTCCTTCGTGGGCAAGATTAGGAATTCACCAGTTGCCTAAAAGCTTGGAATCATTTGCTTAACTTTACTGAAGACAAGAGAAGTTTCTGTTTGATTGTTCATTAATAAAAGACTTTGTTGTACTTCTCAAGCCATCTAAAGACTGTTTGTGGTGGAAACCTCTGAGAACTTCTCTTTAGGCCCCCTGGCTTCCCGCTGGGCAAAGGTTGCACATCTTGTTCTAAAGACAATTATTTACAGGCCCAGCGCGCGACAGAACAGTAGTGAAGCAACCAAGTTGGGGGGGGGGGGGATGTTGAATGCTCTCATTAAGGAGGCCAGACTTGGTGGAGGTGGTTGACAAGGGCGGAGCTGCAGGCTATTGAAGGCTGCTCTGCCCCCTGCTGTGCTCTTTGCTTCAGCGTGAGCTAGGAGGCAGGTTTCAACCCCCCACCCCGTGAAATTTTAAACTCCCCTCCCGAAAATTTCAACCCCTCCCAAAAATTTTCTGGCTACGGCCCTGGTCCCAGTCCTTTGAGTCCCTTTGACAAATGGTTTGCCTCTAAAACTCTGTAGACCATGAAACAACAGTTGTATGCCCCATGGTGACTTTTATGGCATGACTTCTAAGGAGTAGTGAAAGAAGGTCCTATGGAGTGTGTGCAAATGTGTGAACAAAGGGACAGCAAATGACGGAAGACGAGATCTCAGATCTGCCCAGATTTTGTATGTATAAGTAGATGCCTTCAGGTTGGTAGGCTTTTAGGAATTGTGGGAGTTGAAGTCCAAAACACCTGGAGGGATGAAGTTTGCCCATGCCTGAACTATAGGGTCTCCAGTTTGATTCTATAGTCAACAGGCAAACCACCCCTGGGCCTTCCTTGCTTAAGGAAATCCTATGAGATTCATGGGGTCACCACAAGTCAACAGGAGACCTGAAGGCATCTACTTATACATACAAAATCTGGTCAGTTTTGAGATCTCATCTTCCGTCATTTTCTGTCCCTTTGTTCACACACTTGCACACACTCCATAGGACCTCCTCTCAATACTCCTGGGAAGTCATGCCATAAAAGTCACCATGGAGCATACAACTGTTGTTTCATGGTCTACAGAGTTTTAGAGGAAGACCATTTGTCAAAGGGACTCAAAGGACTGGGGCAGTGGGAAGAAGCCATAAAAGAAGTTTGATACCAGAGATGGATGAGATCGAGAAATATGGACCTTGAATGTTATGCATGCGTTGATTGTTTGTAACCAATAAAGTACCACCAGCAAGACAGTGGGACCATATTTGGGACCTAAATGGTTAGGCCACACAGATTGTGACATCGCCATAGGCTGCATTTCAGAAGAAGGACCCAGCAAACCCACCTCTCAGTCTTTCTTGCTTCATAAAAGCCTATGACATGTTTAGGGCCACCATAATTCAATAAGTAAATTGAAGACACCAACTTCAAACAATATCTGAAAGTTTCGAAGATCTTATCTCTTAGCTCTTGCTATACAGAGTCCATAGGAGTGCTGTAAGTAGTTCTGCATACCTTCAGGGTATTTGTAATGATGGGTGATGTCCTCCTTGGAGTCCCTGCCCACACTCTTGGTGCTGATGTTCTTGCCCACTGTGGAGGTGAAGGTGGTCTTCTTCCGGGACATGTCCTTCTGGAGCATCAAATACGCCACGTCGGCATTGACCTCGGCAAAGACAAATCGGACGTCGTACTTGAGGTGAAGGTCTCCTTCCTTGACGGCCTTGACAGGCGTTGGTCCGCAGCAGTAAACACCTGCCAAAAAGAAAGAAGGCTGTCAATACGTAGTCCATCCTGGCCGATAAAGGAGGCCAGAGGGGTTTGACAGAGTGGGTAAAGGTGATGGTGAATGCCTCCTTACAGGAGGGCAAAATCCCAGTCAGCTTAAAAGAAGCTGTTACAAAACTGCTGTTGAAGAAACCATCACTGGACCCCACTCAATTAGTCAATTTTCAGCCAGTTTCCAATCTCCCCTATTTGGGCAAAGTCAAGGAATGTATGGTGGCCTCGCAACTCCAGGTGTTCTTGGAAAACATGGATTATCTAGATCCAGTGCAGTCTGGCTTTAGGCCAGGACATGGAACAGCCTTGGTTGCCTTACTGGATGATCTACGGCGGGAACTAGACAGGGGGATTGTGTCCCTGCTGGACCTCTCAGTGGCCTTCAATACTGTAGACCAGTGGTTCTCAACCTGGGGGTCAGGACCCCTGGAGGGGTCATGAGGAAATGTCAGAGGGGTCACTAAAGACCACCAGAAAACACAGTATTTTCTGTTGGTCATGGGGGTTCTATGTGGTAAGTTTGGCCCAATTTTGCCATTGGTGGGGTTCAGAATGCTCTCTGATTGTAGGTGAACTACAAATCCCAGCAACTACAACTCCCAAAATGTCAAGGACTATTTCCCCCAAACTCCACCAATGTTCACATTTGGGCATGTTGAGTATTCGTGCCAAGTTTGGTCCAGATCCATCATCGTTTGAGTCCACATTGCTCTCTGGAGGTAGGCGAACTACAACTCCAAAACTCAAGGTCAACGCCCACCAAACTCTTCCAATATTTTCTGTTTGCCATGGGAGTTCTGTATGCCAAGTTTGGTTCAATTCCATTGTTGGTAGAGTTCAGAATGCTCTTTGATTGCAGGTGAACTACAAATCCCAGCAACCACAACTCCCAAATGACAAAATCAACCCCCCCAACCCCACCAGTATTCAAATTTGGGCCTATCGGGTATTTGTGCCAAATTTGGTCTAGTGAATGAAAATACATCCTGTGTATCAGATATTTACTTTACGATTAATAACAGTAGCAAAATGACAGTTATTAAGTAGGAAGGAAAATAATTTTATGGTTGGGGGTCACCACAACATGAGGAATTGTATGAAGGGGTCACAGCATGAGGAAGGTTGAGAACCCCTGCTGTAGACCATGGTCTCCTTCTGGGATATACCTTCACTTTTCTCCTGGGGCGTTGGGTCCAACACCTGCCATCCATCATATCCTTCTGAAAGATCTGGGCGTCCCATCCAAGCCTCGACCCAGCAGTGATAATTCCTGCAGCAATCGTGGGAAAGAAGCGGGCAGAGTGAGTAAAAGCAGAGGCAGATTACCTTTCCTATCATTACTACTATGGTTGTTGCTGCTTTTTTTGAATTTGCATCTTGTTATGGTAACTCCTTGCAGGACACAAGTATATGTGTGAAGAAAAATCTTATTGTTTGTAATTATCTTGTTCAGCTGGCTAAGTAGGTCAAGCAGCAATCTTGTGCCACGCCCAAGGGACTATAACTGTTTGAGTTTTTTGAATACAGTGTGGTGCGTGCTGGATTTCTGGTGGGCTGCTGCTGGAGTTCTGTTTCACCAGTGTGGAGTTACAGCAGGAGATGCTGATGGTGAAATAGCTATTTACTTCCTGTTGGCTTTTTTTTTGCCACCGCACCACATTGTTGGCTCATGTTGTTGGGGTTCAGCCTGAGTTTGAACTTGAACCTGATTCTCTGTTTGTTCCTCCTGATACTAATGAAAGTATATTTACTGATGCTAGTGGAAATGTACCTTTTGATGCCAATGCTCCTGAAATTAGTGAGGAAGAAACTGCTGTAGGTTTGGAAAATGAAAGTACCAGTGTTCATGAGAATGTTTCAGGGGGAAGCCTTGACCTTTCCCTCCCTTCTGCACCTGGTAACTTTAATGACAACAGAAGGGGCCAGATTTGGCAAGACAGAAGTAAATCACTCAGCTTGCGAAGGTCTTCCCGAATTAAAGAATTACAAACATTGGCTTCAAAGCAGAGGGGCGGTTCACGGAACCAATTCTTTGGCTTTAATTGCCTTCCGCCGGGCTGACTTTCTCAGTTCAGGCATCGTTTCAGATTGATGAAGACCTTGGCAGTTCTCCCAGTTTCCCTGGCCATGGTCTTGAAAGATTTCTAGGATATCAAGTACGGTTAGTGGATTGCTAACAGGTTCCAGTATTTTAGTGTGGCTTTGGGTTTTGCTTTGTCCATTTAAATTCATGTTTGCTGATTTTGCTGTGGCTTTTGACTTGCATTTTTCCTTTATTTTGTAACCATTTTTCTTCAATAAAAAAGGATTGTTTTTCACAGTCAAGTGTGGTGGATAGTTATCTTAGGGCCTCGTTCCCTGCTCTGGATTGCAACACATGTTTAACTTGTTGTCCATGAGTCATGCTGGCCGTGAAAGCTTTTGACAATACATACAATGTGTTGCCAAAGGTTTTCATGGCCGAAATCACTGAGTTGCTGTGACTTTTTCAGGCTGAATGGCCATGATCCAGTAGCATTCTTTCCTGACGTTTCATGTCTATCTGTGGCAAGCATCCTCAGAGGTTTGTTCAGAGGTCTGTGGGAAATGAGGCAAGTGGGGTGTGTATATATATCTGGGTAATATCCAGGGTGGGAGAAAGAACCCTTGTCTGTTTGTAACAAGTATAAATGTTAGGCATGTGCAATCCATGGTTCTAAATGATTCTAAAGTACTTACAAAACTCGAGGGCGTTGGTGCTTTGCTTCTAAAGTGTTGCTAAAATTCTGGTGGTGAAAATTTCAGAACTCTAACAAAACTTTCAAAATTTCATTATTATTTCATTATTGTGATTTTTATGACAGAACCTATTAGGAACTGCCATTTATAATGAAAATTTGAAAGTTGTGTTAGAGTTCTGAAAGTTTCCCCACCAGAACTTTAGCAACACCATAGAAGCAAAGCACCAGCACCCCTTAGTTTTCACCACCAGAACTTTAGTTTTGTAAGAACCATTTAGAGCCATGGATTGCACATGCAATCTCGGAACCACAATTCAGAGAGATATTGACAAGCTGGAATGTGTCCAGAGGAGGGCGACTAGGATCTGGAGAACAAGCCATATGAGGAGCAGCTTAAAGGGCTGGGCATGTTTAGCCTGAAAGCTGAGAGGAAACATGATAGCCATATATAAATATGTGAGAGGAAGCCACAGGGAGGAGGGAGCAAGCTTGTTTTCTGCTTCCTGGAGACTAGGACGCGGAACAATGGCTTCAAACTACAAGAGAGGAGATTCCATCTGAACACGAGGAAGAACTTCCTGACTGTGAGAACCGTTCAGCAGTGGAACTCTCTGCCCTGGAGTGTGGTGGAGGCTCCTTCTTTGGAAGCTTTTAAACAGAGGCTGGATGGCCATCTGTCAGGGGTGATTTGAATGCAATATCCCTGCTTCTTGGCAGAATGGGGTTGGACTGGATGGCCCATGAGGTCTCTTCCAACTCTTTGATTCTATGATTCTATCCTTTTATGGCTATATGCTAGAATAGTAGTTTAGGCCTGGGTAACAACGGAAAAATTTGTTTCTAAAATCGATTTGTATTTGGGGTTTTTTTTTGTTTCGATATTTGAAATAATTACAAAATTTTCCTTTTAAAAAGTTCGATATTTACGAAATTTCGTAAATGGTAAAAAATTAACGAATCGATTTCCGAAACAATAACGAATCGATTCGTTAATGGCGGACGCGACCGCGAAATACGCTAAAAAACCTCCAAAACCTTCTGAAGCTTCCCTCTCCCTCTGTTGGTGACTGTTGGTGTGATATTATAATTTTTTTTCACTAATTAAACCATAAAACTGGCCCAGACATGCGGAAATAATAACGAAACGACCTCAAACAATAACGAAACGAATACAATATCGAAATACGAAGCATTTACAAAACGTTTTTGAAAATTCGTTTTTTTTAATAATTGCTCCAGAATGGTTCGTTATCGTTTTGTAATTGAAAAAATTAACGAATTATTAACGAATTTGAATTAACGAAACGAAACCGCCCAGCCCTAATAAACACACTTCCACTTGCCTCACTTCCAACAGACCTCTGAAGATGGAAACCACAGATGCAGATGAAACATCAGGAAAGAATGCTTTGGGAACATGGCCATACAGCCCGAAAAACTCACAGCAAACAAATACAATCCATGATTCCATAGCATTGAGCCATGGAGGTTTAAATTGGTTCCAAACTGCATTCATTCCACAGTGTAGATGCTTCCCATTGCGGTCAGAGTCCACTCACCAGATGAGTTCTCGGTTGCCCTGCTGCAGCTTGCCGTTCTGGTCCAGGTATTGCTCAATGACCAGGTTGCCATTGGTGTCGTGGGCAGAGTTGTAGTTGGTGATCACACGAGCGGGGATGCCCAGGCAGCGGAGCACTAGGAAGCAAAGAGAAAGAGAGAAAATATGGATTGAGAAGGTGCCTCCCTCCTGTAGGAGCTCAGCCGACTGGGGTTGTCACACGGCCTCATGAAGAGGAGGATGGTTATGTTCACTCTCCTTCAGAGCAGGACCTTTCAGAGATTTCCATGTTGGATTTTAATGTAGATTCTCAGGGGTCTGTGAATGGAAGAGAGGGCACAGAACAAGCCGCAGTGCAAGGGGAGTTAGAACACTCTGGGATTGTTAGTTCTCAAGGCAGAGTGGTTTCCAGACAGTCTGATGGGAACCAGCTTGTGTTGCTAGATAAGGAAAGTGAAAGGAATGTGTTAACGAGCAACCGGGAGGAATCAGCCTTTGATAGACGGGGTCAAATCTGTCAAGATCGCCACCTGCAAGGGGGAGTCCGAAGGTCTGTCAGGAAAAAGATCTTGGAGTCCTCGTGGACAGCAAGTTAAACATGAGCCAACAATGTCAATGGGATTCTGGCCTGCATCAAGAGGAGCATAGTGTCTGGATCTAGGGAAGTCATGCTCCCCATGCTCTATTATGCTCTGGTTAGACCACACCTGGAATATTGTGTCCAATTCTGGGCACCACAACTGAAGGGAGATGTTGACAAACTGGCATATGTCCAGAGGAGGGCAACTAAAATGATCAAGGGTCTGGAGAACAAGCCCTATGAAGAGTGGCTTAAAGACCTCAGCATGTTTAGCCTGAAGAAGAGAAGGCTGAGAGGAGATATGATAGCTATGTATAACTATGTGAGAGGAAGTCACAGGGAGGAGGGAGCAAGCTTGTTTTCTGCTTCCCTGGAGACTAGGACGCAATGGAACAATGGCTTCAAACTACAAGAAAGGAGATTCCATCTGAACATTAGGAAGAACTTCCTGACTGTGAGAGCCGTTCAGCAGTGGAACTCTCTGCCCCAGAGTGTGGTGGAGGCTCCTTCTTTGGAAGATTTTAAACAGAGGCTGGATGGCCATCTGTCAGGGGTGCTTTGAATGCAATATTCCTGCTTCTTGGCAGAATGGGGTTGGACTGGATGGCCCATGAGGTCTCTTCCAACTCTTTGATTCTATGATTCAGTGCATGTCTAAGGTGCCCAACTATTCTATTGTCTGATGATCCGGACGAACACAGCTGTGGCTCTTTGGATTTCTAGGGATGTAAGCCTTTGGTTATTTTCTCCTCACATAACTGAGATAAATCACTGCCAGAGAGTTCTCCCCAGTGTGGGAGTATTTGCACAGTTTTGGGTAAACAATCCTGCAACAGAAATAAATGTGGGCTTTGGAAAGCAAATAAAGAAGGCACAATTGGACTTTTGTGCCAAAATAGTGTGTGTCTGTGTACACAATGCATTTTATACCAGCCATGGGCAAACTTTGGCCCTCCAGGTGTTTTGGACTTCAACTCCCACAATTCCTAACAGCCTACCGGCTGTTAGGAATTGTGGGAGTTGGAGTCCAAAACACCTGGAGGGCCAAAGTTTGCCCATGGCTAGTCAGGAGGTGTCACACACCAAGGCTGGAAGCACACCTCTGAACCCATGAACACTCCAAAGTTCTTTAGCAAATAAACAGTTTATTGAATAAATACAAGCAATATTTAAAAAGGGTGGAAAAGGCAAGTAAAAGATTAAGTAAGAAAGTCTAAAAACAATCCAAACTGACAAGTAGGCAAACGTAATCCATAAAAGAGCACAGAGATTATTCTTGATTTCACAGCAAAATCCACGAATGCAAAGTCCTTAAAACCCACAGAGGAACATGTCCAATGTCTCTTGAAAAGCCAGGGAACAAGGTTGCCCAGATCCAAAATCCACAGAAGAATTCCACAGGGAAACTTTCACCAAAAGCAACTTGAACATGAGTCTTGAGCAGAGAGTTCCATGAATCTTGACATGACATACATAAAAGACTTGCCCAGGTACCGACTTTGCGCTCACTGAAGGCAATGCTGTGAAAGTCCTATATTTATTCAAAAAGACCTACACAAAATGCATTCCGATTCCCTTGAGAACTCTCCTGCAAATTCCTCTTTTCCCTTATCATAGAACCATAGAATCCTAGTTGGAAGAGACCTCATAGGCCATCCAGTCCAACCCCCTGCCAAGAAGCAGGAATATTGCATTCAAATCACCCCTGAAAGATGCCCTTGATCATTTTAGTCGCCCTCCTCTGGACACCTTCCAGCTTGTTAACATCTCCCTTCCATTGTGGTGCCCAGAATTGGAACCAATATTCCAGGTGTGGTCTAACCAAAGCAGAATAGAGGGGTAGCATGACTTCCCTGGATCTAGACACTATACTCCTATTGATGCAGGCCAAAATCCCATTGGCTTTTTTTGCCGCCACATCACATTGTTGGCTCATGTTCAACTTGTTGTCCACGAGGACTCCAAGATCTTTTTCACACGTACTGCTCTCGAGCCAGGCATTGTCCCCCATTCTGTATCTTTGCATTTTTTTCTGCCAAAGTGGAGTATCTTGCATTTGTCCCTGTTGAACTTCATTTTGTTAGTTTTGGCCCATCATCTCTCTAATCTGTCAAGATCGTTTTGAATCCTGCTCCTGTCCTCTGGAGTCTTGGCTCTCCCTCCCAATTTGGTCTCATCTGCAAACTTGATGATCCTGCCTTCTAGCCCTTCATCTAAGTCATTAATAAAGATGTTGAACAGGACCGGGCCCAGGACGGAACCCTGCGGAAATGTGCATCCATAGTGTTTTAATGTGGTTTGGCATCAGGTGAACTGCCATTTGGCCATGTGCAGCAACAACCCTGTGGAAAATTCATTTGTGCCAAAATATATGTATTTGTCACTGTGCTGGAAATATGACCGAAAAATTATGCCGATTTCTGTGCAAAGATACAGAAGAGGGTTTTTGTGGAACCGCAGGGGGAAAAACAACATCTCAGATTTTTTTGCACAGGAATCAGCATGGATTTATTTATTTGCACAGGTTGCAGGAAATCTCAGTCCTCGGCGGAGCCCCAGAGCGGAACAAATCCGGAAAATAAAGAGAGCCGAAAGCAATGATGTCAGGGTTGAGTTGGAGGTTTGGCAGGAGCCAAATGGAAAGAGGTTTTGCAAAGGGAGAAAGCGGGAGGTCTAGTGGCACATTTTGCCATTGTACTTCTTGTCATGACCTCCATTCAAGTTCACTCCGGGTGCATCTACACTGGTGAATAGATGCAGTTTGACACCCCTTTAACTGCCAAGGTTCAATGCTATGGAATCCCAGGAGTTGCAGTTTTATGCGGTTCCTCACCTGTGCAAGCCACGGCTGCAAAGACCCAACATTGCCCATAACGGACGGGTTGGCATCCAAACTTCTGCCACCTCTGAAGGATGTCCACGCTTCCACTCCAGGCCATGGGACTCACGCCATCGTCATACTGGTTGTCCCATCGTCCAAAGAGGATGCCTTGGTCGTCATTGCAATTCACCTGCAGACCAAGACAGCAGAGCATATCAGAGCCATGGAGGCAACAGAGCTGAGGATGTTTAGCCTAGAGAAGAGAAGGCTTAGAGGGACAAAAAAGCCATATTTAAATATTGGAGGGGTGTCACATTCAGGAGGAGGCAATGGGGCATCCCTTCTGCTGCTGGGACACAATGGAGCCATGGATTTGAATGCCAGTAAAAGAGATTCCACCTAAACCTTAGGAATCACCTCTCCACCAAAGATTGCCCCAGGCACTAACAAGCCACACCAAACAACTGCCAGGCCATCAAATGCTAATCAAGGTGGTCAGTTGAAACATTCACACCTAGTTCAATGTATTGTCAAAGGCTTTCATGGCAGGAATCACTGGGTTCTTGTGGGTTTTTTCGGGCTATATGGCCATGTTCTAGAGGCATTTTCTCCTGACGTTTCGCCTGCATCTATGGCAAGCATCCTCAGAGGTAGTGAGGTCTGTTGGAATTAGGAAATGGGTTTATATATCTGTGGAATGACTGGGGTGGGGCAAAGAGATAGCTCTTCTCTGCTGGAGCTCTTAATACCTCTCAACCAAAGTTCTCCCCCAGGCTCAGCCAGGCCTTCAAATGCTAATGAAGGTGGTCAGTTGAAACATTCACACCTAGGTCCAGCAGAGAAGAGCTCTTTGCCCCACCCCAGCCATTCCACAGATATATAAACCCATTGTCCTATTTCCAACAGACCTCACTACCTCTGAGGATGCTTGCCATAGATGCAGGCGAAACGTCAGGAGAAATGCCTCTAGAACATGGCCCTATGGCCCGAAAAAATTGAAACATTCACACCTCGCTCCAGCAGACAAGAGTCCTTTGTCCCACCCTGGTCATTCCTCAGACATATAAACCCTTTTTCCTAGTTCCAACAGACCTCACTACCTCTGAGGATGCTTGCCATAGATGTAGGCGAAACGTCAGGAGAGAATGCCTCTAGACCATGGCCATATAGCCCCAAAAAACCTACCACAACCTTAGGAAGACCTTTCTTATGGTAGGAGATGTTCAGTTGTAGAATCCATTGCTGCTATGGATTCTGGTGGAATCTACCTCTCTGGAGGTTGTGAAACAGAGGCGGCATGACCATCTCTCAGGAGGGCTTGAATGGTATTGCCACATGTCCTACAACAACCTTAGGAAGACCTTTCTTATGGTAAGAGATGTCCAGTTGTAGAATCCCTTGCTGATGTGGATTCTGGTGGAATCTACCTCTCTGGAGGTTGTGAAACAGAGGCGGCATGACCATCTCTCAGGAGGGCTTGAATGGTATTGCCACATGTCCTACAACAACCTTAGGAAGACCTTTCTTATGGTAAGAGATGTCCAGTTGTAGAATCCCTTGCTGATGTGGATTCTGGTGGAATCTACCTCTCTGGAGGTTGTGAAACAGAGGCGGCATGACCATCTCTCAGGAGGGCTTGAATGGTATTGCCACATGTCCAACAACAACCTTAGGAAGACCTTTCTTATGGTAGGAGATGTTCAGTTGTGGAATCTGTTGCTGCTGTGGATTCTGGTGGAATCTAACTTTCTGGAGGTTGTGAAACAGAGGCAGCACGACCATCTCTCAGGAGGGCTTGAATGGTATTGCCACATGTCAGATTGGGCTTGGACTGGTTGACCCTTTGGGGTCTCTTTCCAATCCAGTGGAATGTAGACAAAGACATCCTACGATTCCACGAATCTCCTTCTCTGGAGGTTTGTAAACATCTCCTGGGAGGGCTTGGATTGTGTCTTCCTGCTTTGCAGAAAGTGGTGGGACTAGGTGGCCTTTGGGGAACCCTTTCAACTGCAATGGATTTTGCCCCTCCTTTAAAGTTCATACTGAAATGCAGTGGTCACAGCTATGATCCCATGACCTTTTGGCTTCTTACTCACCATGGCACTGACCACCCTGCTGACGTAGACGGGGCTGTTACGCTGGGAGCAGTCCTTGTCTTGGTTGCGGAGGAATTTGGGGTTGGTGTCCAGCAGCTGCAGGCAGATGTCCACAATCCCTTCTTCAAACTGGGAGAAGGTGGAAAAGAGGGTGAGCAAACACCTTTGTATGGTCCTTGTTTATTTACTTACTCTCTTTATACCCCACCTTTCTCGGCCCCAAAGAGGGCTCAAGGCAGCTTACATAGAGGCAACTATTCAATGCCTTAAAACACATACAATTAACATTAAAATTAAATTAAAATTTGTGCTGGTACGGCTGTACCAGGAGCTCCAACTTCCTTTTCTTTCTTTGAGTGTTTGCATGTATTCCAAAGTTCCATGCATTTTGCAATAAGGTGGCTTCCCTTGGTTTGCAGCCACCTGCCTATCATCGTTGGGTTTTTTAGTTCCGCCCCTTTCCCCAGGGTTCAGGAAGGAAAGGGAGCCATTTTAGCTCAGTCTTACAGTTGAAAGCTTAGCTACAGGACGTGAATCAGCTCCACCTGTAGAGAAGCTTCATTTCTTAAATTCCAGGGGGAAACAGTTCCAAAGGACTCCAGCTGGAGAATCTACAAAGCCTTGACTGGTAGGTCTACTCGGGACCCAAGAAGCAGTTTGGAGCCGGGAGTAGAGCCCACACCAGCAAAGTTTAGAAAGTAGATTGCCCAAGGAGGGGTTAAAAAGGGTTTTCCTCTTAAAGAAAAGAAACAGTTCACGAAGCCAGTTGCCTGTCCCTTGTGAACAAGATGATTCAAAGCCTTGAAGTATTTGTTTGACCTGTTGAAGATCTGAGAAGTATTTGATTGCTTTGTTGAAGACCTAAGCAATAATAAAGGACTATGTTAAACTTTTCAAGCTTTTAAAGACTCTGTACAGGAAAATCCTTAGGGCCTCTCACTCGA